GAGGGAGGGAGGGAACAAGGGAGGAGCTGTAAAGGGGCGTGTCGGCGTGATCGTGCCCTCCCTGCAGGCATTGTTCGCCAAGATGTCCATGGGAAACACCTCGATCTTCTTTCAGAGCCCCGAGTGAAGAGGTAACGCCTGAGGGAGACCCAAGGGAGGAGGATGGGGAGGAGGAGGAGGATAGCGGGTGCATATATACACGTTGTATACAATCACATCATCCTTGACGGGTTAACTAGTGGAACTGAGAAATAGAGCGTTCCTCCTCCATGTTCTTCCTCTCCTCCGCCGTCTCCCCTGGCTGCTTGTTCGGCGTCGGAAGGTCCTCCACTGGAACCCAGAGGTCCGCAGCTTCTGCGGGGGGAGAGGAAGCAGGAGGAGGAGGAGGAGGAGGAGGAGATCCCTCCTGCTGTCGACGCTCCTCTACTTCGACTTCATGATGCTGCCCCGCCAGCCCGTTGGACAGCAGCTGCTTCATCCACGAAATGGCCTGCCCGGTCGTCACAGGGGAAGCAGAAGAAGCAGAAGCAGAAAAAGAGAAACAGGAGCAGGAGCAGGTGCAGGTGCAGGTGCAGATACGGAGGAGCGACAGTTCAAACCTCCTTCGATGAAGAGAGAGATCCCTTGTCTCCAACAAAGTACATGTTCAGCCACCTGCTGTCAGATTAGCTCCTCCTCCACCTCCACCACCTCCTGCTCTTCCTCTTCCTCCTCCTCCTCCGCTCTGTATATCCCTCCTCCTTCGTCATCCCAATCCACTCCTTCTGCCCCCTCCCCACATGACGAACCCGTGCGGCAAGCATGGCGCCACTTTGAGCTTCACATCCTTCACCCTCCCTAGATTTCGCATCCTCCGGATAAACATGATCTGTTCGCTTGCTCGTCATCCAGGGCGGAGCGAGCAAGTGCGACTGGATGAGAGAAGAGATAGGAAGGGGATGGGGAGGGGAGGGAGTGTACACCGAGGAGGATAGGCAGGAGAGAAAGGAACAAGAATGGGAGAAGAGGAGGAAAGAGGAGTAGATGGAGATGAGAAGTCCAAGGAGGAGGAGGAGGGAGGAGGAGGAGAGGAGGAGAAAGAAGTTTGAGCTGACCGAATCATCCAAGAGCGGATCGAGCTCAGATGCCATCACCGCGCAGCTCGGGAAATCCCGCAGGATTTCGTCAGGAGCAATCTGCAGGGACAGAGATGAAAAAAGGGAGGAGGGAGGAGGGAGGAGGGAGGAGGGAGGATCGGAACATCAATCACGTAAGTGGAGTAAGGGAGGGTGCACACCAGAGGCGAGAGAATGGCCAGCCATTTGCGAATCTTGGCGTCCTCCTTGGGGTCGTCTGCTTCTTCTCAGCCCTAGCAGAGGCGGCAGGTCGAGTCTTCACCTGATAGCCGCGAGGAAGGGTCCAGGTGCAGCATCGCAGAGAACTTGCCATAGATGGAAGCGAAACGATTGGCATATGCGTCCATGCAGAGCTGATGAGAGATTTGAGGAGGGGAAACAGAAGGGCGACAGAAAGTGGAAGAGGAGGAGGTGAGGATAAGAAGTGAGAGAATGCGGAGGAGGGGGATGAGAAGAAGCAATAGGAGGAGCAGGAGAGGGAGGAGAGGGAGTGGGGATGGCAATCAGGAGGACAGGAGGGGCAAGGAAGCTCTACCTGCAGGTTGCCGAGAGGAAGCAGCGGGTCCATCATGGCGAGAATCCTCGAGGGGGAGGGCGTCAAGTGCAGGTACTGAACTCCATGGAGTCAGAGGAAGATGAGACTAGGAGAAGAAACGCTGAGCGCAGGAGGTGGAGATGAATGCAGAGATCGGGGCGATGGAGGAGGCCGAGGAGGGGGCAGAAACTACTGAGAAGAGGAGGAGAAGGGAAAGAAACGAGAGGTGAAGCGGGGGAGGAGGGGGCAGAAACTACTGAGAAGAGGAGGAGAAGGGAAAGAAACGAGAGGTGAAGCGGGGGAGGAGGGGGCAGAAACTACTGAGAAGAGGAGGAGAAGGGAAAGAAACAAGAGATGAAGCGGGGGGGGGGGGAGGGGTTAAGGCACAGGAGGGGAAGGGTTGAAAGAGCATCGACCAGTGCTGGATAGAGCATGACTACTCCAGCTGGAGGCTTGATACCCAGCTGTAGCGCCCTGATCGCAACCTGCCCACAATCAGATAGATTTCAGTTCAGCTTGCCGATTCACTCTCCATCTCGTCCTCTTCCTCGTCCTCCTTCTCTCCCTCGTCTCCTCTTCCTCCTCATTGTTCCTACCGTAGCCGCCAAGTTCCCTCCCGCACTGTCCCCGACGCAGATCACAGATTTTGCCGTGCTGCCGAGGGTTGAAGCATGAGCAAGAGCCCAGCAGTAGGCGAAGAAGGCCTGGCAGACGGCGACCGGGAAGGGGTGCTCAGGAGCAAGATCGTAATCCACAGAGAGGATCGGGGCTTCCAGCGCTTTGGCCCAGTCTCGCAGGTAGACCTCGTGGGAGGCAGAGCTCTGCGCTATGAAGCCTCCCCCATGGAAGTGAAGGATGAGGAAGGGAGAGGGAGGCTTCAGCTGCTTCGTGTTTCCCCAGCTGATCCCCAGCGCGCTCCTCCCCTCGACCTCCTGCCCCTGCAGGCAGCGGAAGGAGATGAGACGGGCCTTGACTCGGAGGGGCGCGACGTATCCCTCCCCGCAGAACAAGCGACACTCTTCCTCCGTCGGGGCGATGGAGACGAACACATCCTCGGCGCCCGCCCTCCTCATGGAGATGGGCCGGGACCCATCGATGACGATCTCCCTGCTAACCTCCACGTTCGCTCCTACCACAGCCGCAAACCTCTTGGCCACCGGCAGCTCCGTCAGGTTCCAGAAGGACTTGACGAACTTGACGTCTGCAGAGCCGTACTGCTGCGCGATCCTCCTTCCCTTCTTCACCGGCTTCATCAGGAAGCCGACGCCATGGTAGTAGGCGCTGGCCAGCTGGGTGAGCAGGTGATCGCTGTGATGCTTCTCGTAGCTCCTGCTGTAGGAGGCGGCAGCAAGCAGGACCATGCGCAGGAAGTGCTTCAGGCGGGAGGGATACTGGTAGCCGTGCATGTCACCGTACAGCACAGACAGGTCGATGTCGCTCAGTTTCTCTATCGCAGACTCCAGGGGGATGTGGGTGAAGAACAAGCTCGTCCTTCCTTCGGACGAGGATGTTCTGAGAGAGCCCGTGGTAGCGACCAGCTCCCCTCCCTGAGTCTCTGCGTCGGGGTTGTTGAAGCTGAGCGTGAGCTGGAGGAGCTCCTTCAAGATCTCGAGGATCTTAAGATAAGACTCGAGAGGATAGAGCAGGCTCTTGATCCTCGTGCCGAAGAACACGCTGCGGAGCAACCAGTCAGAGAGATCGGGGTGACCTCTGCATCCCTCTTCTCACCTCTCTCGCTCCGAGGTGATCGCAGCCGTCTTCTTCCTCAGCTTCTTCAAGCAGCAGCTCACCACACGTAGCTGGGCCCAGAAGCCATTCCCCATGCTGTCCGCCACGTCGTGCATGGCAGCGAGATCTGCAATCTGCATAATAGTCTTGTCGATATGCTGCAGCGAGATCAGCGCATCCATGAAGCAATGGCAGCAGCGCTTGTAGTGTTTGAGCGTCTGCTCGGGGGAAGAGTTGAAAAACCTTACACCACGTTCATCCTTCCCTCCTCCATCACCAACGGTCTGGTACCTGAGATTCTCCTCCATCTCCTCCTTCAACTCCCTGCGGCAACAGCGATCAGCGAACCGATCACTTGATCGAGGACGATCCTCGCGAGCAACCTGATGTCCTTCTGCAGGGAAGAGGAGAGGTTGAAACCGAGAGGCATCAAATCCTCGATCAGCAGTTCGTCCTCGTTCTCGATCACCCAGTCCATGGTCTCCTCCCCGCTCACTCTCGACGCTTCCGCATCATTGCCCAGCAGCTCCAAGATCGTCTCTGCCCCGAAGATGCTCGCTGGGTTCTCAAAGAATGGTGGGGAAGCATGCTGGAACCTGATCTTGCAGAAGTTGCCAGAGCTGAAGTACTGCCCGGCAGACTCTCTCACGCAGACCACAGGAACTTTGATAAGCTCTGCGTCAAAGTTGTCGTTCTTCCACTTCCAAGGGGCGATCAACTCGTCTGTGTTGTTCACCAGAATGACAGCGCTTGCCCCCGCCTGTACCATTCGGCACACTTTGTCCACAAATCCGGTCCTCGGGCCCTCCTTCTCTAGGGGGTCACGCCTTGCAAGCGCGATCTTTCCTTCAAGTTGCTCAGTGTTTTCCAGCCGATGGTCGGCAGTTTCAGGATCAGCCCATATCATCTGGAGGGAGCAAACTCTCAGAGACATCTCGTCAAGTTGAATGTGACAAGAGCACCTCTCCCTCCGCATCGCCCATGTGTCCGAAGAGAGCGTGCATGCATTCAAACTCTGTGTAGCAGGAATCAGCGGGGGGAACGAAGAGGCTCGGCTCCTGACTACCTCTGCACAACTCATTCGAAGATCCTTCTTCTTCTGAGATGTATATCTTCCCGGTCACGCCGCCTTTATGATCCGGAATATGTGCTTCTGCAAACCTTGTGAGTGCAATCCAGGTAGGTATTGCAGCGCCCTAGCACCTAAGCTTTCATGCCTCCTCCTCTTCCAGTAGCGCTTCCTGACGAAATGCTTGGAGCTCACTGTACCTGTAAACCTTCCCCCTTCAAGATTAGCCAGCGTCCACGAGATAGCGCTAGCTCACCCGAAGTCCCAGTTAAAGGCATAGTGCCATCCGTTGATGTCGGTCTTTCCCGCATCGATTTGCAGCTCCCATTCCCCTTCGACGATCTGCTCGTCAACCTGAGATAAGACTCGTCACTACAGTGATCGACAGCAAACAAGCTCGTCGTCACCGTCTGCAACGACCCATCACTCCATGATAAGTTCGGAGGATCGGTTGGGAGCAGGTAGGAACCGGAGAACTCGTTGAAGGGGGTCAGTCGGCGCTGCCTCTCAACGAGGTACGGAGTCTGGATGACGAGTCAAATAAGGTACCACAAGCCTTGCACTGGACCTCGTCCTGCAACGACGCCTCTCCTCTTGACGAGCCATGTCTCTTGGACAACTTGTCTTTCACGCTCTGCTCTCACGACATGGTTCAGACGTGCTGCCTTATTGCACTATAACTGTCACCCGGAAAGCTCCTTCTACGGTACCATGTATAGACCTCCACATGCCCCGATCTCACGTCATCCTGTTGAGTTTCAGAAGTAAGTTACTATGACTTGGGAAAGGTCAGTAGTCCTACGATATCTCCTAAGCTCCATGACACCCCTTGCAGCGGAAAGGAACGCTCGAGTCCACCTTTCCAACATCCTTCTTTCCCCTCCCTCCTCTCCCTCTCCCTCTCCCCTCCCCTCCCCTCCCCTCCTTTGTCCTCTATCCTGCTCTATCCTCCTCTGTCCTCCTCTCTTCTCTCCTCGCTCCCCTCCTCTCCCTTCCATCTCCCTCACCTGCTAGCTGCTGACGCTTCTTGCTGTCCAGTCCCCGGATTGCATCTCAGCAAGCACCCCGCAAGAGTTGTAACGGTATAACGGTTTATGCAACGAAGGATCAGCTGAGTCGTTACGTGAAGCGCTGCGGCTGTAACGGTGAACGACATAAAAGGAAGATGCGGATCCTGTTAGCGGCGGCTATGGCGGCGGTGGCGGCGCACGAGGGAAGCGCGTTCATGCTGTCTCCTTCATCCTCGTCCTTCATCAAGGTCTTAGCGCAGAAGATGCCTGCTCTTCCTCTCCTTCATCCTCCTTTGCTCCCCTTCCCTTGCCGAATGCGGGTTTGCCCCCTCCAGGCGCACGTTCACCCTGTCCGCAGGCGCAAGGATCGGTGTCAAGCTTCGCCGGGAGATTCACTGGAGTGACAGCAAGGAAAGCTACGCTGAGAAACAGCCATGCCTGCTCGGTCAAGGCGTCTCTCCAGGGTCAGGACGTCATGAACAGGTTCGATGCCATCGGCAACTCCGCAATCCAGAAGTTGATGGACGCTCTGCCGCTGCGAGAGAGTAACCACGTGGAGGTGAGCCGATGTATTCCTCCATGCATGTGAATGCCAACGTGTGACTGTAGGGGCTGGGTGCAAGCAGCTGGATGGAGGGTGGCTTCTCAGGCTCTGTTCAGGGCTGGACCGCAGAACCGAAAGTTGGATGGTGGGTGCTCGACGCAGTCCTCTCCTCGCGCTCTGACAAACTGCCGTCAGGATCTCCAAGTCGAGCATGAAAAGCAGCGACTTCTCCACTGGCTCCTCCAGCCTCGTCGTCCTCATGGGGTCTGCCGCCTCCACTTCCTCCTACGGATGCCTGCTCTGACCGTTGATCCCCGCAGGCCATCCTATGACACTCCCCACCTGTGGGTGGACCTAACCTTCACACCGCAAGAGATCCTCGTCAACCTCGACTTTCCTGCAAGGTGCTCTCCCTCCTTCCCTGGGGATCCCAGGGCCAAGTCTCCTGCTCCGACACATGGAGTGGAGGGAAACATGTAACATTTGTCCTCAGGGTCGACCTGGCGGCAAACAAGGACTACATCGCGGAGTACTACAAGGTAATGGCACGCTGGGTGAGCTTGAGACTGACCAGGAGGGCCCGAAGAGCGCGTCAGGGTGGTATGACTCTCTGATGAACGATGCTGCCACAACGGCGCTCGCCGGAGGGAAGGGGCTGAACGAGCGAATCCTTGCTTCGCCAGTGAGACAGGCCCGGATATCTCTTGGGCTCTGCCTCACCCTGCTGCAGATGTCTCTGTCTCTCTCCATGGCGAAGGATCAGCAGTCTCTGGATTTGATCGAGAGGGCTGTGGACGAGCAGGTCAGAGGAAGCTCTTGCGCAAACTCGCGACACAGTTGAAGTCGCCGACAGGTTTCCACTTGGTGCTCATGGATCCAGGGAGCCCGTGAGGTCAACAGGATGCAGGTGGGTGGGCCCGGGGAGAAGGAGGGGTGGGAGGGGGAGGAGTCTGACTCGTGCCCGACTCAGAGAGGAAGCATGTTCGCGAGAGATACCCAGATGCAGCGAATGCGCTTCTCTTCACTGGTGCTGAGGGCTCCGCCTACGTTTACACATGATCTGACATGTTAACAGTTCCAAAAGTTCCAGTCCGTCTTCCCCAAGGATCGCGCCCAGCAGGTCTTTAGCTGCCTTTCAGGCTCGGGTATCCTTACCTCTGCCTTGTCAGCTTGCAGCCGCTATGGTCGGGCCAGGCGACGAGCAGTACGTGGGCAGTGCCGGAGACAACTCTGAGTAAGGAGAACGAGGTACATATGAGGGTAGAGAGAAGGGGGGGCAACGAGTTTTGCCTCCCTATTCAAGTGAGTGAACAAGAACTTGTGTTGGCTTCGTCAAAGCTCGGTCCTGTGCCTCGAAAAAGAGATGAACATTAGAAGGAGGAGGAGGAGAAGGAGGAGGAGAGGGAAATTCTCAACCCACCACTCGTCGATCTTCATGTGACCAGCGTGGACGACTAGCCCATCCTCCTCCCACATGGCATGGAAGAAAACCCCTTCCTGCACGGCAACCTCACAACGAGACTGCCAGCAAGACGCTCACCGGTCCATGCATGTACGCCGCCCACCAGCTGAGAGAGTCGAGGACGAGGATGGTATCTGCCTGCACCATGAATCCCAGCAAGCTGCTCTCTGTATAGTCTTCAATGAAGGAAACCGCAGGCATCATGTCCAAGAGTTCGTCCTGCGAGAAGTTATACTGTCCCTTCCCTCCTCCCATCTCACTCTTCCTTCCTCCCTCCTCCATCCCACTACTTCCCTCCTCCCTTCCTCCTCCTCCTCCTCCTCCTCCTCCTCCTCCTCCTCCTCCCTCCCTCCCTTCCCCATCTTCCATTCTCCCTGATCTTCCTCCTTTGCCTTCCCCGACTCGTCCTTCAGCTCCCCTTTCCTCCAGCTCCTTCTGACCTTAATGCAAAAGCGGGAGGCCTTGGAGGGCTGACAGAATATGACGACATGCCAGCTGCGGTGCTGGGCGAGACTTGTGAGCAGGAAGGAGCGGAGGACGCTCTCTCTGTGATCAGACTCGATGAGAACTGCGCAGGTGGGAAAGCTGAAGAGGGACTTCCATGAGGAATACTCCTCCTGGTATGCCAGAGCTAACCTGAGGAAGCTTCAAGAGACTTGCAGAGAGAGGGAGAGAGAGGGGGTGAGGGCGAGAGATAGAGGAGGGGGGTGGGGGGCGGGGACAAGAGTAATATGCGAAAAGGAAGATGGGCCGAGGGAGCGAGAGGGAGGATGGACCGAGGGAGATGTCATTGACACCTTGCCGGCAGCTTGAAGTGCTCGAGGACAAGATCTCGATGCATGGGGTGGAAGAGATGAGGAGAGAAATCTCCATGCATCATGACCGAATCTCCGGACCTTACCGCCCTCATCGAGGGCTCCGGGATAGCAAACGAGCCTTCCTGGCCCACAGCCCCGATGCTTGACGTGTGGAGCAGATGAAAGGGAATCTCATGTATACTGTCTGACCGTCTGAAGTTTGACAACCAAGAATGTCTGTACGACAATCTCTCCTTAGAGCGGTTCCCTCCGCAGATCACCTTGCTGTCCCCATAGCACCAGTTGAGCGGCAGCAGCACTTGAAGCCTCCCCGCGTCCTCGTCCTGGTCGTCATTAAGGGCAGCAGCAAGTGCGACGCCAGACGCCACTGCCGTCATCATCCGACCGAGACTTTCTCCCATATTGCAGACCCCGTTGGCATGCTGAATGCAAACAGACACGAATCGCTCTCGTGAGAACCTCGTGGCTTCATGCGGAATTTTCTGTACGGCAATCCTGCGGGGGAAGGGGATGTCCCAACTGCAGAGACCATCAGCTCATGGGGATGAGCAGATGGAAGATCGAGGGTAGAGAAGGAAAGAAGTAAGGAGGAGAGTGGGGTTTTGGGGG